CCCCAGCCAGGGTCAACCCACCACAAGAAGTCTTCTCCCAAGTGCTGATACTAAGAGTAGAAAACCTAAGCAAAACTAACCAAGAACAGAGATAAGTTCTGAGACATTCAAAACTCCTGTTTTCCCAGCTGAGACGACCAAAAAATTACTTCCCTATTTCGACTGAACCTCTTTCAAGCATTATAAAACAAACCAAAAGAGGCATATGAATATTTAAATAGTATTTCTTAGCTCTCTTGATGTGCCCTAGATTAACGTATGAAAATCTGTAAACAGACAATTTGCTGTAAAGAAGAGTAGTCAAAAATGGATTCTAACTTTCAAGTGTTATTTTCATCTATTTTTTCGTTCTTTCTGGATATGTTGCTGTTGTGTTGCTTTAGTGAATTAATTAACAGCAGTAAATAAATATGTTGTAAAGGTAACTTTATTTTTTATTTTAAAAAAAAAAGAAAGAAGAAATACTGGGATCAGTAAAAATATTTCCAGTTCGTATTTTGGACCTTGAATACCAAAGTCAGTCATCTGTCCTCCCATTTTAGATATATATCAGAAAAGACTTCAAATTTAATGACTGGGGATTTTTTGTTGAGGGTCAGGGGTTTTGGGGGTTTTTTTTTAACGACATGCAAGTTGATAGCACAATGTTTCTGCAATGTTTCTACTTGGTAATTACCAAGTGTTCCTTCAGGCATTTAAAGGAAAAATCAATACATTATTTTACCTGTCACATCAGCAGACAATGTAGACAAGCAAAGCCTGCAAAAACACTCGTTTTAATAGTCATTGCTATTATATGTAGAAGGTTTCCACCTACTCAAAGGCAATGGAAACATTTCAGTTACCTTGAGTGCTAAAAGGCTCTTGTTAATTTCCGCACCTTCCAGTCGTGTCTGCCTGTCTGCACTGGAAGTATCTGCTCCTCTTTCATTGCCAGCCAAATCAATCAGAGAAAATTTACCATGCAATTTCCCTTTCCTTCTGAGAATAATCTGAAACACTGCATGGCTTCGAGATGAGTGTGCATTTGCAGATGTTTGGCCAGATGTCCTTTAAACAAAAGGAGAGATGGGAAGGACATATGAACAGGCGAAGGACCATACATGTTAAATGCACTAACCTCAGAATGCTATTTTTTTCAGGGCACAGCCCAGTATTTTCTTACATATGTTGACAGCATGCCTAATGATCTTGTCGACACCAGAGATACAACACTAATAATTGGATGTACATAGTACAATAATACTCTCTTCAAACAGAAATGGAAGATTAGTAACATTTTACCTCCCTTTTAAAAGCAAAAATAATCAGATCTTCAAAGACTTCAGAATAACAGAAAGTTGATGGCATTTTTATCTGATCAGACAGAAGACTATGCACAAGGATCATTTTAAAAACAATGAAGCTGGATTCTTAAAAAAAATAAAAATTTTACGCTTAACGTCTGTCACTACATATCAAGGCCTTTCAGAGCTGAAGAATCTGGCAGTATTCCAGATTATAAATGATGTGAATTTAAGTCAGTAAGCTGGTTACATAATGCATGCAGTTCACATCCTGTAGAAAAATCAGTTCTTATTTCTCTCTTGAAGACACAGAAACTCTAAATATCTTTATATAAAAGGTAGGAAGATTCCTTTCTTGCAACCATGTTGCATATTAAAAAGCCATCACTATGAAGAGACCCCCAAAAAACCATGTTCTGATTCTTTAATGTACAATGAAAAACTGGTGGAAGCTATGGGAGATACCTGCAGCTGTTGCCTATTTCAATAAGCTTAAGAACATCTTCAACACATTTCACTTCCCGTTCATGTAATCCCACCACTTGGACTTGCTGTTTACCATCTTCTAACACTCTTAATTTTGTCTTCCTGTTCAACAAGTCAAAAACCTTAGCGGAAGGGGGAAACAGAACAGTTAAAGAGGAGATTTAAAAGACTTTTGTTTCAAATCAAAATATGCAAATCATTCCATGGAAAAACATGATTGGAAGTGTAAGGAATTGTTTTTTAAAAAGCTTTTAGTACAAAGAGGAAAAAAATCTTTTATGTGACAAAGTCTTTTTTGTGAAAGAGAAATTCCACCTTCCTCAGAGAAAGATCAGCTACTTACCTTACCACTGTAGATCTCAAAATATGTTGAATATACTTGAAGCTCTAACTTCTTATAGTTTGGTTTCTTTAGCATTAAAAAGACATCTCGAGCTGTGAATATATTTCCAGGATAAAAAGAAATCTCATTGCATATTTTCATTTAGTGAAGACTCATTAAAGCATAACAGTAATTTACAGTATCTCTCCTATTTTGCAAGTGTAGCAGATAAGTTCAGTCAACCACGTCTAAAACATTGCAGTGTTAACTGCCACATTACAATGGAATATGCAGGAGACCCCAAAATTATTAACTTAACTATCTGTTATATTTATTACATGTTTTGAAGTGACCTATATATACATTTACTTTACTATGCAAAGACTAAACATATAGGAAGTACTTTTCATGTTACCAAAGCTCCACTGTAATGCAAAATATGTAGACCCTTATGTTAGTACCACAGGGAGAAGAAAAGTCACTGATCTCAACTAATTTGCAAAAGGCCAAAAGACCAAGTCTTACCTGCAAGTGCATATATTCCATTAGAACAATCTTGGTTCTTTCCTGAAAAGTCACCACCCATAGTCTAAATTAAAAAAAAAAACAAACAAAACAAAAACCAAACCCCAAACATAAAGATCACAGAACTGTAACTTAGGTATTTGTTACTTATTAGAACTTATACAAGTGTATCATACATAAAAAGTGTATTGCTGACATGTAGAAGAAATACTTACATGGGTCTTTCCACTACCTGTCTGCCCATATGCAAAACAAGTGGCCATTCCCCTTTCAAATATGGTCTCTACTAATGGTCGAGCCGTAAACCTTAAATGCAAAAAACAACAGTACTTGAGAAACTGAATTACTTTAAGATGCCACTACCACAAGGATGCTACAAATTATAAGGCCAGAAGTGACAAAACTGGTCCTGTATTTTGAGAGTCCAAAGGACATATCTACATTAATTCCCGAACTAAAGAGACTGCCAGATCTAAGGCATTGAAATATCCAAATAAATAAATAAATAAATAAAAGTTACAAGGTCTCTCCCATTTATTTTACAACAATATTATCCACCTGTAAACCCTAAGGAAAAAAATTTCCTTCTTTTAATTATGCAACACAGCACAGCTTACTACACGGAGTTTGGAGCTCCCTAAATAAGACAGAATTAGAAGATATCAAAATAGGACACTGGAGCACATACTTAGGTTTTGCCAATACTAAAATTCTGCTATAGTTTTGCTTTTGGTTTTTTTTTTCTCCCTAAATCAACTTCCAAGATTAAATTTAGAAGACAAGTGGCCAAAACAACATTGCACATCTTAATATTTTGAGAACATACACACACTGAGAAAAGGCTCAAGAAAATGGATACCCAGGCTCTTCAGAATGGAAAAATCTACTTATCCCTGAATTATTATTTGATGTGTCCAAAAAATATTATCCAAAGTATCATTTTTCTGTTTTATAAAATTTATTTTTACTTAAGAAAAACCATAGAGTTACTGTTCCTACTTCAGCTGCTTGTCACCATTATTTAATGAAAAATTCCAAAACTAAAAGGTAAGCTAATGGAGGGTTACCAACAGAGGTAAAAGTCTCTCTGCAAAAGTCTTTCTTAACTTTTTCCAGGTATTTACACATAAACTATCTTTAAGAGAAAGAAACAGGAACAATTCTTTTTATATATAAAATACAAAACTCCACAAAGCCTATCCACTTAAGAAACACACTCCATTATCTCTGTTTAACTGAGTTTGAAATAATTTATTTTGCTGATCTATAAAAGATGGACTTATTTATATCTATTTTAAAGTAAGGCAAAACACAAACATATCTCAAAAAGTTTTCATAAAGCATTATACAACTCCAAATGGTACCATGCCAAAACGGTCCAACTTTAATTTTTCTAGAACCTTTATTTGCAATCTTGATCTTTCAGAAATGTAAACTCTGGTTCTCCTTTAAAATTCAGAAGGCATATCTATTCAAACCAGTGCATGTTTTTTAATATTAATAAAAACTTGCAACTCAGTGTTGCAGCTCATGGATTCAGAAATACTTAAAATACAGCTTAAGCAAAATAATAGTAATTAAAAAAAAAAGAATAGTACTTTTCTTTTTCTCCCTCAAACTGTGTGTATTTTACATGAGTAATTTTAGCATACTGGAGAAAACTAGAGTAACTTGCCAAACTGTGACCCTGAAGTTCTGGCAAGAACAGATGACAATACCTGTCTTGCTCTTACTTTTGTTATTATAAGCATCCTTGAAGCAGACTGCCCTTCAAATAATAATCATTATTGTACCATCTGAGGGAGAAGGAGAAAGCCTGTACTGCTACACAGACTAGAGAGTTACTGTTTCAGTATGAACACAACCATCTTTCAGTATTTTCCTGTATTACCATTAATGTATTACATAACTAATAAAAATTGTACGGAGAAAACTCAATACAAAAATACAACAACATTGTATGCCCAACATTTAAACACTATGCTCATAAATAGCAGGAAGGGGGAAGATTAGAACTGCTTGTTAAGTGGAAGGAAAACAATTGCAAGAAGCACACATCACCAGCTAGATCACCCTCCCGCAGCTCTGCAGTATCAAGAAAGGAAAGATGCTACTGGTAGACAATCATTAGAGACAGAGAGAGATCTCCACGGGCACAGCTCTGCAGTTTAGAAGTCTTTTGTTAGTGTAAACTAACAGACTATTTTCTTTTCACTACCCTTCTTCTCCTAATTATATGAGACAGAAGTTTTGATTTTAAAGGCCTTTTAATAATTCTTTTAGTATGAATTTTCTGTTATCACCAACAGGATGTTAGTGTCCAACACCAAACAGGACACAATGCTAATTTTTACTTCCTAACTGTTGGATTAAAAACAAGAACTAAGATATTTCTCTGCCACTGCTCCTTAAGACTATGGGAAACACTTTCCACGCATAAGAAAAATTATCTTCATTAAATTCCTTCCTAATATCAATATTCCCTGCAAAAAGCTTCACAGTATTTAGACTGTGTACCAAAATTATGACCTGTCATGGTGTCTAGCCTTGCCTCCTACTGTATCTACTCCATTTAGTGACTTGTGCAAGGTGAACAGCTACTTCTCAACATATTTTTAAAAGCACTGTGTGCATTATTCTGTGCCAGCTGTTGAAGTGAAACAGTAGAGGAGAAAATGGAGATCCAAGTACCTTAGGGCTGAAAGTGGATGTGTATCTTTTGCTGTTGTTTTTTAAATCAGAAAGATACAGCATTTTGAGCAAGATAATTTAGCTCCATGCACCTCTGCGTTATTATCAGCCAGATTGCTTCCAGAAGCCAAGCCAGCTCAAGTATGTCAGGAATACAACCTCTCTTTCTGTGTACTCTTTC